GGCCCCCCCCCCCCCCCCCCCCCACTTCCATGAATGCATCCGCACCCCACTGAGTGCCGTCCTTTTGTGCTGGATCCGGATAACTCTTCAGTCGTGGGGCTTGTGTGTTCGCAGAGTCATTTGAGGGTCACAAAAATCAAATTATCCATCTGTCGCGGCCTTCTAGCTTCACGGGACCTCAAAGCGACAGTGTTCATCCCGTTGTCCATGCAGGCGCATTCATCAGCGGATTACGGCTCCATAAAACCGCCGTAGAGAGTCACTAAAAGAAAGAATATTTGTCCAAGCCTTTCATGGCTTCTTGTCCTTCCACACCCGAGGCTCTGACTCCTTGTTGAGACTCCAAGAAGCCCACTGATACGTCGGCTAATAAGGGGCAGATCACGCTCGTCTTAAAACACGGCTCGCTTAACAATCCAGGATGTATCTACTTCAGCTTTGTTTACATAAACGTACTCGTTTTTGGATTCTGTATAAATGCTATTGTGGTCTGGCAGAAGCTTTCACAAAAGCTTTTAACATAAGATAAGACAAGATGATGTGACCTTTTACTCCACATAATGCAAAACAAGACAAAATGAATAGACAGAACACACAGTGTCGTTATGTACACAGAACATCTTGAAAAGAGAAAATTAATAAATAAAATCAACTTATTGTATGATGTGCAAATGACAAATTTGAACTTTTAAAATGTAAAGAAACTAGATTAGCAAAATAAATATTCTTTTACTTGGTTCTGTCACTGAGTTCGGCTTATAACCCCTTAACTTGTGACCCCTGTGTTTTAAGATATCGCCTTAAATTAATGATGCATCACATTAACGATGATTACAACATACGCCCATACATTTCAGTCTGCTTTGGAGGCGGGATGTGAAAGGAACGGCGTCAGGTCTCCGTAGATGTTTGAGCTGTTTCAGGGGGCTTCACCTTCTGCACAAGTTACAGGAGAAACATCCTGTAAGCGCACAAACCAGGAAGTCGGAGCATTTTCCCCGAATGCAGCAGGGAGGGGAATGAGTCTACTCACCCTGAAACTGACACAGGATGCACTAATGAGACTCGCCGGTAGCCCAGCGCAGGAACCAGACGCCGGCGAGTAACGGAAAGGGGCAGGAGGTCACGGGTTCGAGAGCAGGAGAGCGCGATGCTCAGCACTCCAATGAGGCGCCCATACTTACTGCCTATACTGCTTCACGGAAATATTTAGGCACGTTATAAACTGCACCCAGACAGACAGACTGATTGATTGATTATATGATACTTTATTAATCCAGAAGGGAATTGGAGGTTTAGAGTAGCACAACACACATATAGATAGTTAAAAAGAAAAAAACCAGAAAATAAAAATGTTCCATTTCACACCAGTACGTTACACCTATAAAGACTTTGTATCAGTGTTTGCTAATTCAGCAATGCTTCAAAAACTAAGCACCCAAAATATACAGGGTTTGAGTGACTATGTTGGCCCAAAGGAAAAATATTTATTTCCATAGTGAAAAATAAGCATCCGGGAATACAGTTAAGCCATTGTTACTGTTTATTTGTGTTCCACCCCCCTCCATCACCCAAGTATAGGGGATATAAAAAGAAAATGGGACTCCTGGATGCAAGAAGTAAATAATTTTTTACAAATATGCAAATGTGTGTACAGGCATTTCAAATCCCATAGAAATTTGTCCTGTATATTTGGAGGCTATCAGAAAAAGTCTGTGCTGCGGTGTTAGGGAACCAGCATCAAAACACTTACCGTACAGAGTAAACATTGCATATATCACTGTTTGGCCGAATAAATATTGAATAGAATGAATTTGTGTCACCAGATCATGACGGGCACGTGGCAGGCAGGGGGAAGTGGAGACTTTCACTTTGACAGGCAAAAGGGCATCGCTAGGCCACCTGGTTACATGGCGTGCACTCACAGAAAGGCCGGAAGGTTCTAGGTGAGTAGCCGGTACACAGGGGGCACCTGGTTCCATGGCGTGCACTCACAGAAAGGCCGGAAGGTTCTAGGTGAGTAGGACTGTGATAGTACCCAGACGGCGAATAAAATATAATTCATGTATCATAGCTGTCTCTGCTTTAATGTGATTGACAATCTAGGTACTTTATTCCCTGGGAAGATAGACAGTATTGGTTGATTACTTCTAAATTTAGCCATATACTGGGGAAAAAATGTAATTTAACGGTTGTTCTGTGCATGACCAATCATTAATGAGAGACTTCTAAAGTACCTGAATCTCATTTTATTCATTGGGGAATTTTTGTGTGGATTTCAATATATTATCAAAGTACTGAATTTTAAAGTGAAAGCTATAAGGAATTTAAAAATATGATGTTTCGCCAAAATGAAAATAGACTGTCATGGAGCTACATATAATTTCTCACGTTAAGTAGTTTGAATCATTATGAATTAAAACGTGATACATAAATAGTATATCTAGTGGTGTTAATCTATGCTTTTTTGAATTTTGATTATATTCATGGTAATTTTTTTTCAATTATTGGTGATCTAATTTAATTTTGAAAACGAGGTGACCTTCTGTATATTTTGCAAGACTACACAAATCAGCTCTTTTTCCCTCACCAGTCATGCTGACCTGCCTTCAGGTTCAGCCGGTACTAATAGCCCATCGGAAGCAGACCGCTTACTGCGATTAACGAAGTGTCGTCCGCGTGTGGTCCAGGAGATAAGGCAGGCCTTCAGGAAAGCTAGGGATGACCGGACCTCATGCTCGGGGGGTGGGGGTGGGGGCATTCAAACTTCAACCGTCAAAAATGCAACGATGGCATCACCTCAAAGGTCTCTGGACCATATCACAGCTTGGCTTGTGGGTTCTGGTAGTGACAGTAAGACCCCTACCAGACACATAGACCAGTGTTTCCCAACCCAGTCTTCGGGGAACCCCGGACAGTCCACGTTTTTGCTTCCTCCTAGCTCCCAGCCAATCAGGAACACCGAATACCTGGTACAGATGCTCTGGGAGCTGAGAGGAAGCAAAAACGTGGACTGTCTGGGGTTCCCCGAGGACTGGGTTTGGTTTGGGAAACACTGACATAGACACACCGGCCATGATGCTTGTACTTCCAGCCCTTGCTGACATTGCACGGGCCGACGGGGTCCACATTCCAATTAGGGGCAGACTAAATTCAGGATGTAGATGTGCATTGAGCATCGTATGGGAAGAGCCGAACAGCCCCACAACAACCCAGGTATGACTGGATAACCGGTTTCTACAAGCAGATGGTGCATTCCGTTGGGGTGGTACCATCCAGGTAGATTTCAAATATAAAGACCTTTCTCTCTCAAGAAAATCATGTGAGGACATCACCATTGTAATTTAAAGTTCTTCAGTATAATACCAGACCAAAAATTCAGCTAGATGCCCTGCAAACACGAAGAGTAATACACTGATCTGGAACTAATGTCTAATTTTGCATGTCTGTTATTAAATGCACTCACACATGAGTTCACAAGTGACTTCCAAGGTTAGGAACAATTGTTTAGATTGTCACGTATCACTGTCTGTCTTGCTGTCCTTGAACACAGAACCGGTGAACTACAGAACACATGCATGACTGTACGTGTCAATCATGTCCAGATGATTAAATTTCTGTGTGAAATACATATCATTTCTGTATCGCAAGCTATGTATGCTAATTTCTCCTTTGTTAGATATCTAATCGCATGCGTTATTCTCTTATGCCTCTAATAAATCCAGGTGGTCATTAAGTGCCATTTACACTTATTTATACTTGAAACACCGGTGTCTGCAGTTACAGATTTTATGTTAATATGACAGTAGCATGTTGACGATGGCGGACGCCACATCTCAGGGTTACGGCTTCAAATGGGCAATAAACACCGAGTCACCACCCTCAGCCTTTAATGTTTTGACGTGGAGGCCAGGAAAAGTGGAGAAAATTAGTAGAGCGCATGAATGACGGATGAATATGGGCTTGTTCAAACTCATCCTCCTCAAACGCCACGCACCCGGAGCCCGGCCTCCCACCAAGCGTGTCAGACGCCGCCGGAGCTGTGGTCCTGATATCAGGCGACCCCCCCATGCTCATGAGGGAACTGCTCAAACGCAAACATGTTTTTTTTTTTTTTTATCACCATGGCAACCAGGATGAATGCAGAACAATAAAACCACTGAACTTCAGGCACCCCTTTTCTGTTTTTTAGCAAGCTAGCTGATTGGTAAAAATATACTTTGAACTGTCTCCTGCCAGGTCAGCATTTTTTATTTTTTCTTATGTATTCCTTGCCTGTATCTCAGTTCACGGGCCAGATTTCGCAGACGCCCAGTGTAAATATGTCAGGCCGCAATTTGCTGCCCGTACATCAGCCGTGCTGTGTGGGAGTCACAATATGGCACATGCTGCATTTACGGCGCGGGCAGACAGGGAGACGGCCACGGCGCGCGTCTGTCTGCTTTTCGTCGCACGTCGCCCTGATAAAGGCACGCTTCGACGCCATGTGTTCATTCCTGAAAGCTGCCCCCCCCCTCCCCGCCCACCAGCCGCCTAGGCAACGACATAAAGCAGTGAGCTGCGAACTCAGTCACTCCTGAAGAGGAGCCGTCTTATCGTATCACAACCAGCTATTGCCGGACTTAACGGGTAGCAACAGATGCGGCCGAATAACTTGAACCGAAACTGGAATGCGAGGCTTGGGGAGGGGAGGGGCGGGGG